CATGGAGCATCTTCAATAAATTTCATGCAGCTGCCGACAAGATAAAGCTGTAGAAATTATACAACAAAATCAATTGCAGCTCGCTGGATGCTGCTGTCACTGCTGCTGCTGGCTGCTGCTGCCTCTTTGAGGCTTTCGCTGCATGCCGACATCTGTCTTATATAATAACAATAATTGACATGAGTAATCATTATTATCGCTTGTTTGAACAATGACCATTAACACTTTGCCGCTTTTGTTGCACTCCGAAGAACTGCGGAGGGGAAATGCTTTGCGTAATGCCAAGTCAAGTGAACGCTGAGGAACGCTGCTCAAGGAAGTGCTCAAGTGGCTGCAGGGGAAAGACTCACGCGGAGCTTGGTTCCTTTTGTTCGAGTGCAAGACGCACTTTTCCATCGAGAGTGGAAAAGACTCGAGCCATAAGAGCGACACGTGCTAGCTGACTAAGCAGTTGACTGACTGACTGAATGACTGACTCATTGACATATCAAAGCGGGGCCCCCCAGCCCCCCAGGCCCCCCCCCCGTCACATTTCAAACTTCTGCACTAAGCGGACAAACGCTTTGCGGAGTCATCCGAACATCTGCGACATCTCAAATTTACAATTCCAATTGTGAAGACAACAAACGATGTCAAATGGCGGTAGGCCAAGCCAGGCCAGGCCAGGCCAGGCCTCGGTTCGGTTCGGTTCGAGCCACAAAGGAATGTGTTGCAATTGAAAATAATTGTTTATGCTTGGCATTAAAATCATTACAAAACGACGACAAATACCGCAATTGTTGCTCTGCCTCTGGCTCTTGTCTATGACTCTGACTCTGACTCCAGCTGTTGTTGCATTTGCTGCTTAAAATATTTCAAGTTTCCAGCATTAACATTGACAGTCTACAGGAGAGGCAACAGGCACCCAGGCAACGGCCAAACGAGAACTGCAAAATCAACATTAAACAATGAACGGTAGCCCGGCGACAGGGGCAAACAACAAATGAACAAACAACTAGTTAAATGAGTTTGTGGCACGGATCTACGCACCGTGAGGGGCACACAAAATCTGCAAAGATCCTCGGCACAGCTTCAGGATTTGCCACCAAATGGCGGAGCGTGCTGGCAAAGCTGCAGCTACCAAAGATACGAACATAATTTATTAGCACTGCTTGTTGATGGGTAAACGAAACTAGAACAAAACGAAACGGAAATTCGAAGTGTGTGTGCCTCACACGGGGATAATCTTCGTCACGAATTGCCAGCAGCACTATTGAGGGATTGGCCATCAAGCGACAGACAATCGCTTCCTCCAAAGGGATGATGATGACAATGACGCTGGCTGCTGGCTGCTGGCTGCTGGCATGATGCAGATGCAGATGCAAAGTGCAGTCAAGGCGCACCGACAGAGCGCTGATGAGCAAGAGCTGAGCGCTGAGCGCTGATGACAAGTGACTGTGGCTCACAATTTATTTGCATTAGTTGGCAACAAAAGCCAGCCAGCGTTGGCCACGTATGCTAAGCCAAGCGACTAGACTATCTATCGACTGTGAAAGGCACAGACAGCGAACTTCAAAGTTCGTTGGCAAACAGAAGCCGCCACCAGCAAAGAAGTCATAGAATGTGAGATGAAGAGGCAAAGCCAGCCAAAAGCATGACGACTCGACGCGACGCGACGCGACTCGACTCGAGACAGTTCAATTGTTCAGCCAAATATTTACCATTACTTAGGGCCCCAAGCAAAGGGCCAAAGAAGATCGTAAATGACAATGGGAATGGGAATGATCCAAGGGCCCATAAAGCAGCGCACCAAAAACGGGTGGGAGTGGGTCCAAGGCCCAAGGCCAGACACGGCATGCAAGAATATGATCTGTGAGCCAAAAAAGAACTGTTAAGGGATTGTGCATGCTGCGACGATCTCCATGTGGTTCTCGAACGGCAAAAGGATTGAATGTGATCCATTTGAGTGAAGGCCATGGCATTCTTGGACCGATATCGGTTTGGGCTAGTTCTATGCACTGGTAGAGGTTGCCACAGCCACAGTTACAGCTACAGCCACATCCACCCACCCACCGATACCGATACCCTCAGTCAGCTGTCGCCGTCTGTCACCTTAATGAGCGCTTAAATGCTAAATTAATGACAGCCTGCTGGTGGGGGAGATGGGGCGGGTCTCTGCCCCTGCCTTCCGGGCAGGGCTGCCTGCCTGCCTGCCTGCCAGCTGCTCTCGTGACTCCATGTGGGCCGACTCAAAATCATTTTCGCTCTCTCTCTCTCTGTCTGTGTGTGTAGATCTCTGTGTTCTTTCGTGTCAAGTGGCCATAGTTTTGGGCTTAGCCATAATTTTGTTTTCATTAACAATAAATTTCAATTAAGCTCACGATTTGTATATTCATAAAGTTTTCAGCGGCACGAAACGCAAATAGTCCAAAAAACACAAAACAGAAATAAAAAAAGAAGGAAAAACTTAACCAAAATAAGGCCAGAAACGACGGATTCCAGTGCCGTGAAGTGTGTGTGTAAACGTAAACGTAAACCTTTTCTGTTTCGGTTTCTGTTTCGATGTTGTGTGTGTTGGCTTGTCGCCAGATTTGTCCGAGTTGAAGTTTCTCAGCTGGAGTCAGAGATCTTATGCAGAGTTTCGTGGCCCGGGTTTATTAGCAACACGAGCAACCGTCGAAACAAGAGACCTCAGGCCGACAGCCCGTTGCCGTGTGGGTGTTCAAGTGTTTGCTCTGCTCTGCTCTGCGGCTCTCTGGACTTGCTGCTCCTATGGCACAAAGAATTTTCCGATTTTATTTTCGGTTGTTTTTTCCATTACTTTTGGCAGGGCGCGTTGACAAATGGCCTTAAAGAGCTGCCATATTGCCATATAGCTCTGTGTGCCATAATAGGAGTGCCCCTATGCGGCTTGACATTTGGTTACCCTCTACTGGGAGGGTACATAGACTCGACAGTCAAAGAGGTCACCTCACTCTCACCCTCAGCCTTCCCCTTACAAATCTATTCATCATTTGCACACCTTTTATTGGGTGCATGAAGCCACAATTATAATTGCAGTGCATTGTGCATATTAATTAATTAAATCATTTGCAAGTCGAATCCAATTGAATCGCCGCTGGCCCAGCCCATTAATTAGCTTAAATACCGCGCTGATTGGAGGACTCCCCACGGGGCTGGGCGTGCGCAAATATTCAATGCAAGAAGAGCCACCGACTGCATCGCTGCATTGGCTGAGACTCTGGCATTAGGTGTTGATTCTTGCATCAGTTCCGGATCGAACAAGTTACGGATTTTCCCACGATACACCATCGAAATGGGCGGCAATTGCTGGATAATTATCAATTATAATTGAATTTTGTATCAGGCCAGAGGCGAGCCACAGCCCGAGCCACAGCCCGAGCCACAGCCGCAGTTTTCCAATGCTTAGTTTTGTTCAGTTAATTGAAATACTTAGCCAAACAGATCGCTGCAATGGGAGTGAGTGTGCCCCTCGAACCAGATCTATCTGTCGGCATACGCACCAGATGGAAGTCGGGTGGCTTGGCTTTGGCATTCATATGTACACACACACATACACACACATACTTGTATGACTTGTGCCCCCGTCCGCGACTGTGGTGGAACCAAGACTAAGGTGAGGCCGTAAATTAAGTGCCAGCCTCCAAATGTCAAAACATATGCCAAAGTCGGGAATTGTGCGATAAAGAAACGCATTCAAAGACCCGCAAAGGCAGTAGCCAACTGCTCAGTGGCAGTGGCAGGGGCAGTACTGCCTGGGCCCACGGCAGTAAGAACCGCTAGCGGACAATGACCATGACTGAAGCTGAGACTGAGATTGAGACTGAGAGAGCGACTGGCACTGGGACTGGGAGTGCGAGTGCAGTGGCAGCATGTGGGGACCAAGACCAACCAGCAGTGAGGAAAGCCAGCGAGCAGTCGCTGCAGTGGGACCAGTCGTAAGACCAGCAGTAAAGTGTGGTACCGTTAGCCATGACGACTGCACAGTGGGACAAAGTGTGCGTGCAAGGAGACGTGTAGAAAAAGGACTGCAGACTGCAGGGCGCTCATTGCTGTGGCAGCTTGCGACCTACAACATTTCCTGAGATTAACATGGGAAAATATTTATATCCGGTAGTATTTTCTCTATAAAAAATAACCACCATATTAATGGATGCCAATAAAAATCATCCAAAGATTTAGAAAAATGCGAAAAAAAAAGAAACAAAAAGTTGAATGTGCGTCGGCCGGGAATCGAACCCGGATCAACTGCTTGGAAGGCAACTATGCTGACCATTACACAATTAGCCCCTTGGGGCTAATGGCAATGTATCCTAAATAAAGTGCCTGATTTCAGGATCAGATCTGCTTTGGTGAGTGAGCGAGGAAGAGAGTCGAACCATGATGATTACCATATTAAAATGGATTAGTTCTACTTTTTGTATAAGTGCGAATTGTTTTACACGCACACATTCAAATGCTCTGTAGCGCGGTCTCCCTACCCGAGCACAGCCGAACTTGAGAGCGACAGTCCTCGAGATTGTGTGCAGCCAGTTGTTGATCCGATCCGCATATATTTTATGTTAGCTTATTTTAAGTTTAAGGTAGGGATATAATAGCGTTGCAACTTTGGAGGGTCTTTGGGGGGAAATGGCGTATCGTTTGTTAATTAATTAATTACCATTGGTAGTCAGCCCCTACGGATGGACACATGATTTTTGTCCCACCACTGTGCCCCAGAGCTGCAGGGCGGCGAGACGCGATGCGCGGGCAGCGGCGCTGCTGTGTGTTGGCCTAGACGTTTAGACGGACAGACGCCCGAGGCATATAATTAAATCATTTGCCCGGCCCGGCCCGGCCCGGCCAGGCCAAGTTTATCCGCTGTCCGGGGCGTGAGCGAAGGCAACGCAAATGGTATAGTAAATGGTATTTATGGGACCAATTAAGCCAAAGAGTTTTCCACAACTTTTCCTTTGACATCCTTTGGTGGAGCCCACTCAGTGGGCTCACTTGGAATCGACATGTTCAACCTGCTGGCCGCGTCTCTCGCGGATCTGTGGACGCAACGGTTCACCTTTGCGGCCATGGGCCTCGACCTGCAACCGGTGACGGCCGCTGGCGAGGGAGTTCTGCGCCGGCCCATCCTGTACGGTGTCATGGTGCTGGCCACCAGCTTCGAGCTGTGCACCGTGTGCGCCTTCATGGTGCAACACCGCCACCAGATCGTGCTCTGCTCGGAGGCGCTGATGCACGGCCTTCAGATGATCTCCTCGCTGCTCAAGATGACCATCTTCCTGGCCAAGTCCGGCGATCTGATCGCGCTCATCCACCAGCTGCAGGAGCCCGCACCCAGCCGAGTGGTCCGTCGCGGCCAGATGCTGGCTGCCGTCTACTTCCTGATGTGTGCCGGGACGAGCGTCTCCTTCCTGCTGGTGCCGCTGGCCCTTACCATGGTGCGGCTCTGCCAAACGGACCGGTTCGAGCCAGTCACCTCTTTTCGTGTGCTGTAAGTGGGACAGTGAGTAAGGCCATCGGCTCAGATAATTTTCCCTCCCCAGACTGCCGTACGATGTGACCCAGCCGCATGTCTATGCACTGGACTGCTGCCTGATGGTCTTCGTGCTGGCCTTCTTCTGCTGCTCGACGACTGGCGTGGACACTCTATACGGCTGGTTCGCCCTGGGCCTGAGCTCCCACTACCGCCGCCTCACCGCCCAGCTGCAGCAACATTTGCTCCACTGCGACCCAACTCGCCAGGACCTGGGCCTGCGCGAGCTGTTCGCCCAGCACGCGCGTCTGCTGGCCCTGGTGGCACGCTTCAACGCGGCCTTCCGGGCGATCGCCTTCGTCGAGGTGCTGGTCATCTGTGTGCTCTACTGCTCCGTCATCTGCCAGTACATCATGCCGCACACGGACCAGAACTTTGCCTTCCTCGGCTTCTTCTCGATGGTGGTGACCACGCAGCTGTGCATCTATCTCTTTGGCGCCGAGCAGGTGCGCCTCGAGGCGGAGCGCTTCTCGCGCCAGTTGTACCAGGTGATGCCGTGGCAGGGCCTCTGCCCCAGCCATAGGCGGCTGCTGCTGCTGCCCCTGCAGCGTGCCCAAAGGGACATGGTGCTGGGCGCCTACTTCTTTGATCTGGGCAGGCCGCTGCTCGTTTGGGTGAGTCACAGAGGCAGCAATTCAGTCTGACCTTTCATGGTGTTCACTCGACAGATATTCAGGACGGCGGGCTCCTTTACCACACTGCTAAATGCGCTCTATGCCAAGTACGAGACCTGAGGCCTGAGGAGAGCGAGAAAATAAAACTCAACTTGGTGGGTTTTTATTTCGTTTTTATTTAGGTTTAAGATTACATTTAAGAGCTGATTGGTTTTGTCGATTTCTCGCTTTTATGTACACACACACATAACTAAATAATTATGCTCAATTAGACAAAAAATACATTACATTAGATACGCATATAAGATATACAGAGATATATAGTAGACTACGGGCTAAGATTACGAATTAACAACTGATGCGGACAGACTTTACAAAAAAAATATAAGGATACATTTGCATGGGATGGGATGGGAATGGTTTGCAGATTGGGTTAGATTGAAGATTGAACTCTTGAGGCGTGGCAGTGGCTGGGCAGTGGAATGAAGCAGAACTTTGTTGGGGGTCTTGGGGCAACTCGAGAGGGGATCTTAAGAGTTAGGCTTGCGATCGATTTGTGGGGTTTTGCTTTGTTGTTGCAGTTGCATTTGCATTTTTTCTGGAAATAAAATAAATAAATCTAACAGTGGAGAGAAATGGAAATGATTCGCCTGCTGGCACCGGGAGGGGCGGGGCGCAGGCACTTAGCTGAGGGCCAGCAGCGGCTCCAGGTCGAGGGGATCCGCCTTGGGACTCGCCTTCTTGCGGTAATTCTTCTGCAGCTTCGTCTTGGCCAGCTTGGTCTTGGACTTGGAGCTGACCTTGGCCTTGCCAGCGAATTGTCCAGGCGACAGCCGCTTGAGGGCCGCCTCCTCGAGTGCCTTTTCGCGGTCGAGCAGCTCCAGCTGCTCAAAAATGTTCTTCGGATGTGGATGCGTGCTGGGTGCGGTGGCATTCTTGGCCGCATACACCACCACGAACTGGGAGAAGGCCGAGTCCGCCGGTGTGTTGATGTCGGCAAAGTCCCGGAAGTTGGCGAACTGCTCCTCGGGGTAGGTGTACTTCTGGACGAAGCCCTCGCTGGGCCGGCCGTGTCCGTTGTTGGCGTCCCCGTAGATGTAGTCGCTGTTGTCTTCCGGATGGTAGGGCATCTCCTCCTCCGGATAGAAGGTGCCGCCCCTCAGCACGCCAAAGTCCCCGCTCCCCAGGATGCTGGCATCGAAGTTGCGCTGCTGCGGATGCAGCTGTGGCTGTGGCTGTGGCTGCTGCTGCGGATGTGGCTGCACCTGTTGCACCTGCTGCTGCTGCTGCTGCTGGGTGTGCTGTCCAGGCGCCAGTAGTGGCAGTGGCAGCGACAGGGGTGTGCTCTCCGAGACGGTTCCGTGTCCGTGTCCATGGCCGTGTCCCACTCCAAAGTAGGGCCGCGAGTGACCCAGCGGCGGTGCCTCGTGGTAGAACGGCGGATAGAAGTTTTGGGCCGCCTGGCTGTGCGAATCGGCGCCCACATCGGAGCGGGCCAGCAGCTTGGTGTTCGGATTGGCGATGGGTCGGAACTGCTCCTGCTCCGGCTCCTGCTCCTGCTGGATGGGCGCCTGGAACTGCCTGGGCTGCAGCTGGGTGGTGGGCGGCATGTGGAAGTGCTGCTCCTGGGAGCGCAGCACCGTGATCGGGGTTAAAGTCGTTCGGCTCCATCAGCATGTCTCCATCCTCCTCCGGGAACTCGGCTGCAAATGAAAAGAGAAATCAGTTAGAGATTTCACTGCTTCAGTAGTTTGGCATGTGGATATGCCAGATGAGCCCCACTGCCAGTGCCACTCGAGCCACAAGAGCTTTCTGCCCGCGGCTGCCTCGAGTGCTGTGTGCGGCGGTGCCGAGGAAGGCTCTTAATGTCTTTGTGTGATGTTTGAAATCGAGTGGTGAAATGTGTTGCCGAACATGTGTAAAGAGACTCAGGCTGACGCTGACGCTGAGAGGGAAGCGAAAGTCTTTCGACACTATTTCCGGTGCGCTGAAGCCCTCAAAGAACGTCAGACGGAAACAGCAACTAAGCACTTCAAGGAAGGTACACAAGAAGTGGTATATGATAGAGTTCCAAGCTATATTTTTTAATTATAATTGCTGATTGGAGTGATTTGTATCCCAATGTCAGGGAGGGATTTGTGCACATTATTTTAAATGAATGATACACATCTATTTTCAGACAAAAGAATCACTGATTTATTTGTGCCCTTCTCGCAGGTTGATTCAAGGTCCCAGCACCCTGACGCTGCTCTCCTCTTCCATCCCCATTAGCTGCTGTTTTTTGTACCCTTTGAAGGGAGTCGATCATCGGACCAGGTGCTTGCCCAACGAACCTTCCACGCGTAATTTGTAATTGGAATTTGGTCTGCTTTGCTATGTACATAAAACCATATTTCTGCAGCCTTTAGTGCAACCTTTGGCACATTTAAATTATTCTGGAATATATTTTGAGAGTGCAGTAAAACTTCCAGCAGTTTCCCATTTAAGTAAAATTCTTGGGGCAGTGACAGACTCCGCTAACTCGACGCCAAGTCGTATGCCAACTCAATTACATTCGTCCAGCGACTTGCCGAGTCTGAGTTCGATTCTGGTTTGCGTTTGGGGGAACTTTGGGTCTGGGAACTGGGATCTGTGGTGTGCGGGGTCTGCTTCAGCAGTCAAATGTCGTATCGATAAAAGTCGATAATAATGTGAGCCGGACAGCGGCAGCTGGCATAAATTGTGAGCTGGCCCGTGTTCTAGGCATAAATGTTTTGGCCCCTCTGTACTCGCAGCAACGCGACCCCACCCTCGGAGCCAGAGCCCCCGGCCAGCCAGAGCCGCAGTCGGAGTCTGCCTTTCATATGCGGCCTGCCTCCACTCAATTTTTGGTTTCAACACAATTTTTGTTGCTTGTTTCTTTTTTGGTGTTTATGTCTCTTATTTTTCTTCACTTTTTGTTTGGAATTTTTGCAGAGTTTTCACTGCATGCAATGTTGGCGGCAATTTCTTGGCCTGACACCCGCTGGTAGTTTCCATACGCTCTCCGAGGGTATTATGGCATTATCCTGTGTGTTTCAGTGAGTGGAAATATTATGGATTCCAAAACAAGACGAGAACAATTACAGCGATGCCTTTTCTGGTGAGTAATATCTGTCCGCAGTAGCCGTTAGTGGAGTATTAAATTGCAAATCAATCATTTAGTTATCCGCCCGGAAAAAGGGTATTCCATGCTTCGACCTCTCAGTGGCGGAGTTCCTTTAGTGCTGAGGGGCCTGCAACTGGCCAAACTCTGAACATAATGAGTTTGTTAAGTGTAATTGGGTAGTGCTTTGGCTCTATGGCCGTCTCTGAATCGGACTCCCGGCAAAAAGTACGAGTATATTTTTGGCTTTTGGTTGTTTTTTTTTTGTTTTTTTTTTAGCTGTTTTCGAGCGATGTCTGATAGTGTTCGGTCCGCTGCCAGAAATGGGTCAAACACATCGAGCGATATGTCGTGTGGTAAGTATAGATTACTTTATTATTATTTATTTGCCTTGCACGGGGGCTGGGGGCTGCTGGCTGCTGCACGTTTCGACCATTCGATTTGGCTAATTTAGAAAATTGCCTCGCTTTGTGGCTGGTGGCGGCTGGCTGCTGGCTGGGATCTGAATTTGGCCACTGCCACACATAATCGATCAAAAGATATAAAAGACACCCAAAACAAATTGGAAAGCCATCGATCTGTGTGCATTTTCCATGCATCCAGAGCAACAAAACAGACAGGGACAGGAACAGGCAATCGGTGCTTCGGTCACTCCATTGTTAAATCAAATCAGACAAAATTTGATCGGGCCCAAAAGCATTCGAACTCGAACTCGAGTCCACTTGGAGTGTCTGTCGTGTCTGTCGCTGGCTCTGTTTTGGGGGACCGCTCATCAATCATCATTCACAGCGAAAAGAGTTGCGATTGAAGCGAAAGCTTCCAAATGCAATAAAAGTTGGACAAAATAAATAAACAAAAAATCGAAAGAAACAAATGAAATCAAAGCAAATAAAACGTCACGAGCTGTGGCTTTCTCCACTCTCACACACAGCTCTATCGGCATCTTCATTTCCATTTCCACCGCCAAATAAGTATCTTTATTTATCACTCTGGGTCTGTTGGTTTCCCACGAAACCTTTGCATAAAGTTGAACCCCTTTTTTGGAGTACTGCACTCTTTCTGCTGATTTGTTTGCATTGCATTTATGTAGGTTTGAGCCTTTTTAATTTATTAAAATTTAATTGCTTTAGGCAAATATTTAAGTTGGTTTTTTCGGCTTATTAAATCAATTCTATTCGTCACACTGCTTGGCATAGATTTGCACGGATGAGTAAAATTGCACAAATCAAAATATAAATCGTGGGGTAGTGAAATTCCAGCTGTGGGTCGCTCCAACCACCCGAAATGTCTAATTAAAGTGGGAAATTTTGTTGTACGCTTCGCGAATTATGAAAGTGCTAAAAAGACAAAGCGCCATAAAATCAGCCAAAGGGAAAAGTGAACCAAAGCAGCGAGCGAAAGGAGAGGCATTGCCACAGAGGAAAGCAGAAGGTGCACGAGCGCTAGATATTATAATTATATATACAGACACGGGTTGGGGTGGGGGGGGTTGGCACTTGTAACATGATGACCCTGATGACGATATCGATGTTGATGTTGTTGCGTCTCTTGGCACGACTTTGCCTTTGCTGCTCCCCCTCTGGCCGGGTACAATGGGGCGTATGCGTTAAATTGAGCGCGTCGTGCCCACAGCCAGCCATCCCATGGGTGTGTGTGCTCGAGTGCTACGAGTGGAGTGTATCTGTGAGTGTGCAAACAGCATGACATGGACATGTGTTTAATCATTTACTGGCCACAATCACAATCAAACAAAATTGCACATTGCGATCGTCATAGTCATCGTCATCGTCACCAGCCAGCCAGCCAGGCAGCCCATCCATCGTCATGGCGGGCTCTTCTTGATGAGACTTCTTCAATTTCAGCTTGCTGATTGTGTGTATCTGATTGCGTTCAGCTGTGGCTGTGACTGTGGCTGCCGCGTGGGCGTTAGCCGTATAATTAACACATTGTTATTGTGTGTATTGTATGTATGTATCTCTGTCTGTCTGTGCCTTGCTGTATCTGCATCTGTGACTGGCTGTAGCTGTAGCTGTAGCGTGCTGTGCAATGTTCGCCTGTTTGGCAATGGGCATGGGGGAGCGTGTCTAAGTGGGCGTTAAATGGCCGCCTCAATGCGTCCATCATTATCATCATCATCATAATCATCATCATCATCGCCAGCCTCTTGGTTAGGCCCACTTATCGCCTGGCACCAAGCTGCCACACGATAAACGATCGTACGAGAGTGGATGTACTGTACATATGTAAATGCAAATGAGAGTCCAGGAAGAGCCGCCACAATCAGAGTGTAAGTTTCAGTTCAGAGCTGGGGAAATTAAGGAAGATTTTAGCAGTGCCGAAAGACGACTACTCTCCGAGGGAACTAGACTCTTATGGCAACACTTTCAGTCACTTCTCAGGTACGGTACTCCCTTCCCTCCCCTCCCACCCAACAATCCTCGAAAGACATTCGCCAACACTTTCGTTGCATTTCCCAAGCCTCTCCATCACTCACTCAGCTCATATTCATTTCAGTTTCAGTCTTATCCATTTTCAGCATCGCATCACCTGAAGCCAACTGGCGGCTGGCGCTGGTCGGGGCTGGTCGGGGCTGGCGCTGTGGCAGTGGCCTGGGGGGGCACTCCCCAGTCAAAAGTATCCCCCGTTGCATCCCCTGTGGCAAGTCATCAGCGGGTCTATGAAATTTTCCGGCACTTTGTTGGCACTTACAGCACCGCATGCGTGTAAACAGCGATCAGGTCGTGGGTTGTTTCGCGTCTCTCCTGCAGTCTTTCAGTCTCCTCCTTCGCCGTCTCTGTCTCTCGCTATCTCAGTTGCTGTCTCACAGTCTCACAGTCTCACAGTCTCTGTCTGTTTTTGTATCTCATAAATTTAAAAATCAAAATCAAAACAAAAAGAGCTGCAATCGTCACTTTCACTGCTGCTCCGATCCACAGCAGCAGCTTGGGTGTACATACAACATAATCACAGAGTCGTGTGGCGGGAGAAAAGTACGGGTATTATTCGTGTGTTGGGGGCTTAGCTTTGACCTTTCGTCTGTCAATGTCAGGCAGCACTGCTCTCCACCACTCCCCCACCCCCATCAAACGTTGACAGAGAACTTTCACTTTCACAGCCTCACAACCTTTTAATTTCCATGCATTTATGTGTATTGTATGGGGGGAAAGCCACTCGTGATCGCAAGACCTACTCCAGTTAGCGGCGGGGGAAGACTCATAGATAGAGGGATAGATGCTTTGTTATGGTTTGGTATGGGGTCTCTGCCATTGCAATGACAACTGTCGTCGTGTCTGGGTTATTTATAAGGTCGTTTCAGAAGAGTCTTGGCACTCGCAACGAAATGTTGGCAATTAGCTGCTTTTTATGTTACACTTTAATGACAGTTTTGTCTCCGTTGCTGTACGGGTGCCACCATGCCACCATGCCACGAGTGCACGTACATGTACATATATATATATATTTATATGTATATATTTTTCTCTAGTTTTTTTCGTGTCATGTTTTCCGCATTGAGGCGAGCCAACCTTGAAGTCGAACCTGCAAGCCAAGCACTTCATTTGTCTTCATTTGC